ACAAGCAGATAAATAAACAAGATAATTACCCATAACATTATATGCTGTGAATGAGATTTTAGATTATCTTAATTTTATGCAAATCACGTGTACCTTTTGCATTTGTTGGGCACACCTTCCACCTTTGAGGCCTCCTTGAAATTTTTGTTCACAACAATGTGAAAAAAAACAGGCATAGCAGCACCTATGAAATACCTCTTCTGGAGGGAGGAGGACATGGCCTGCAAACAAATGCAGAAGGCACGGGTTATTTGCATTTTATACGGTATACCATTTTAGCCATGTATGGTGTTCCTAGTAATTGCAGTTGCTTTAGCAGCCTTAGAGTATTGTCTTAGTTATCAGTGCCTTATCCGGACATTTCCTAATGAAATCTGTTAGCATTGAATTTAGGGAGTCTTTTCTACTTGCCTGAAAATATAGAGTAGAAAATGAAGGGAAATTTGTATTGAGGGTATTAAAAAAAAAAAAAAAAAAAACTAACCCATTGCTGTCTCCAGGATATTATAATTGAGGTATTTTTATTAAAATGTACATGGAATACTGTGTGTGGGCAAGGTCAGATTGATATTAATAGATTATTCTGATGTATGCGTATCCCTGGGTGGTACAAATGGTTAACGTGCTTGGTTGCTAACCGAAAGGGTGGTTCAAGTCCACCCAGTGGTTCCTCAGAAGAAAGGCCTGGCAGTCTGCTTCTTAAAAATCACCTGTTGAAAACTATATGGAACACAATTCCATTCTGACACATGGGATCACCATGAGTTGGAATCAACTTGTCAACAGCTGGATTTTAGGCACGTAGGCAGATTTGAGTTTTGCCTGCAAGTAGCTTCTCATAAAAGCTGTGAAATGAAAGAACAACTATTTATAATTTGTTATTTTCAAGAATGTGAGCTTTCTGTGGAGGTTCTTTTTAAATGAAAAACTGACTTGATTATATAGCTCAGAATATAGAATATTGGCTCAATTTGCATTTAATTTGAATTCATTTGCATTCAGTTTAATTAGAGTAGCATCAGTTGAAAATTACTTTTTCTCTTCCAAAAGACATACTGGTAGTGAGTAATACCATGGTGTGATGAAGTTTATGTGGTATCTTAGATCAGACATATCTGGTTCTCAGTAAACTACTGACCAGTGTTCCTGATTGCATCTAAAACAAAGCCTCATTGAAGACTTGAAAGAGAATCAGTTGGTTTTGAATAGACTCCACTGACCTCTTCAAATACTTAGTACATTGGAATCTGGGCTGTCTCTTTTGTTTTTTGTTTTTTTTAATTGTACTTCAGGTGAAGGCTTACAGTACAAATAGTTTCTCATGAAACAGTGGTACACATACTGTTTTATGACATTGATTAACAACCCCACAACATGTCAACCCTCTAACTTCTCAACCTTTTTTTTTTTTTTGGTGAAAATATACATAGCCAAAGGTACACCATTTCAAAAGTTTCTTCATGCACAGTTCAGTGACATTGACTGCACTCTTCCAATTGTGCTGTTATTCTCACTTAAGATGAAGGCTTACAGAACAAAATAGTTTCTCATTTAACAGTTACTACAAATGTTGCCCTATGACAATGGTTAACAATCTCACAACAACAATATCCTTACCCAGCCTTGGGTTCCCTATCACCAGCTTCCTTGTCCCCTTCTGCCTTCTGGCCCTTGTCACTGGACTCCTGTACCTCGTTAGTCTCATTTGGTTTTACGGGGCTGTCCACTCCCAGGCTGGACGGTGAACCTCGGAGATAACTTCACCACTGAGCTAAAAGGGTGTCTGGGGGCCATACTCTCGAGGTTTCTCCAGTCTCCTTTAGGCCAGTAAATCCGGTCCTTTTTTTGTGAGTTAGAATTATGTTCTACATCCTTCTCCAGCTCTGTCCAGAACCCTCTGTTGTGATCCTGGTCAGAGCAGTCAGTGGTGGTAGCCAGGCACCATCTAGCTGTACTGGACTCAGTCTGGTGGAGGCCTTGGTAGCTGTGGACAGTTAGTCCTTTGGACTAATCTTTTCCTTATATCCTGTTCTCTTCATTCTCCCTTGCTCCCTAAAGGATGAGACCAGTGGAGTATCTTAGATGGCCGCTCACAGGCTTTTAAGACCCCAGACACTACTCACCAAGGTAGAATGCAGAGCATTGTCTTTATAAGCTGTGTCATGCCAGTTGAGCTAGATGTTCCCCGAGACCATGGTCCCCACATGGGCTGTCTCTTTTTAAATCATACACTTGGTATTTGTTGGTTTATCAAAGTAGTAAGTAGAAATGCTTGTAATAGAAACAGTGATACAAATAGAGGTGTGGCCTCTTGAATGAATGGCCTCTTCCTTTCCTGCCTCGTTTTGTGTCCTCTCTTCCCTGTTGGTGACTTGGTGAACAACAGTTTGCTCCATAAGGGAAACTTTACCAAAAGTTTGGGAAGGATAAACCAAAAAAAACCCCAAACCCGTTGCCATTGAGTCGATTCTGGCTCATGACAACCCCATGTGTTACAGAATAGAACTGCTCCATAGGGTTTTCTTGGCTGTAATCTTTATGAGAGGTCCCTGGGTGGTGCAAACAGTTAAGCACTTGACTCCTAGTCAAAAGGTTGGGGGTTTGAACTCACCCAGAGGCGCCTCGGAAGACAGACCTGGTGATCTGCTCTTGAAAGGTCTGCTCCAGCCAGCAGCTTCTGACTGATGGGACGGTTGTTATTAGGTGCCATCCAGTCAGTTCCGACTCATAGCAACCCCATGTATAACAGAACAAAACACTGCCACTCTCAGGGGCCCTTCTCACAGTTGTTGCTATGTATGAGCCCATTGTTGGCAACCACTGTGTCAGTCTATCTCATCGAGGGTCTTCCTCTTTTCGCTGACCCTCTGCCTTACCAAGCATGATGTCCTTCTCCAAGGACTGGTCCCTCCTGATAACATGTCCAAAGTATATGAGACGAAGTCTCACCATCCTCATTTCCAAGGGGCATTCTGACTGTTTCTTCTGAGACAGACTTGTTCATTCTTCCGGCATTCCATAGTATGTGTATTCAGTATTCTTTGCCAGCACCATAATTCAAAGGCATCAATTCTTTGGTCTTCCTTATTCATTGCCCAGCTTTCACATGCAGAAGAGATGATTGAAAATATCATAGCTTGGGTCAGGTGCATCTTAGTCCTCAAAGTGACATCTTTGCTTTCCAGCACTTTAGAGAGGTCTTTTGCAGTAGATTTGCCCAGTGCAATATGTTGTTTGATTTCTTGCCTGCTGCTTCCATGGGCATTGATTGTGGATTCAAGTACAATGAAATCCTTGGTAACTTCAATCTTTTCTCCGTATATCATGATGTTTCTTATTTGTCCAGTTGTGAGGGTTTTTGTTTTCTTTATGATGAGGTGTAATCCATACTGAAGGCTGTAGTCTTTGATCTTCGTTAGTAAGTGCTTCAAGTCCTCTTCGCTTTCAGAAAAGGTTGTGTCGTATGCATAATGCAAGTTGTTAATGAGTCTCCAGTCCTGATGCCACGTTCTTCTTCATATAGTCCAGCTTCTCAGGTTATTTGCTCAGCATACAGATTGAATAAGTATAGTGAAAGGATACAACGCTGATGCACACCTTTCCTGATTTTAAACCATACAATATCTCCTTGTTCTGTTGAACGATTGCCTCTTGGTCTATGTACAGGTTCCACATGAGCACAATTAAGTGTTCTGGAATTCCCATTCTTTGCATTGTTATCCATAATTTGTTATGATCCACAAAGTCAAATGCTTTTGCATAGTCAGTAAAGTACAGGTAAACATCTTTCTAGTATTCTCTGCTTTCAGCCCAGATCTGTTTGACATCAGCAGGGATACTCCTTGTTCCACGTCCTCTTCTGAATCTAGCTTGAATTTCTGGCAGTTCCCGTCCATGTACTGCTGCAGTCATTTTTGAATTATCTTCAGCAAAATTTTACTTATGTGTGATATTAATGATACTGTTCGATGATTTCCACATTCTGTTGGGTCACCCTTCTTTGGAATGGGCACAAATATGTATCTCTCCTACCCTTCATTAAATATTTTGGAAATCACCCCTGCATATATATTTTTCTAAGCTCTTTTGGGCAGAAACCAAAGACTCAGAATTTCAGAGCTGAAAATAATGTTAGAAACCATCTCCTCAGTGACGCAGCCACTTTTAGCTGTAGAAACCTTTCTTCAATAATATTGGGTTAGACGAGGGGAAGGACACTGCAAGACCTGGCCATCAGCCTCCCCACCGCCGCCAAGGGCCACATGACACCCTGAACTGAGATTGAAAAGCCCTAATCTAGGCGCACCTTGCTATTTTATAGATGAGGAATTCTTGGCCTCAAATACTTTGTTTTCCGAAATGTAAATAACACATGCTCATTGTAAAAAACTTTAGTAAGACAGAAAAGTGCAAAGAAGGAAGTAAAAAGCACTTGAAATCCCACTATCAAGAAATAATCACTTTTAAATTTTTTGATGACTGTCTTTTCAGACATCTCTTCACATATATGTGTATATAGATATTTAATATATAGAACTTCATATAAATGGACAAAACCATACAGGCTGTTCAAAACTATATTTTAAACCTAATAAAAATGAGCCTGTAGTGAACCCTTCATTTAGCTCAAGATTGTGTAGGGTAGGGATGCTTAGGATAGTGGCTGTTTACCAGCTGGTTCAGAGGTAACTCTCTTGAACAGTCAATCATACATTGGCCTGCGTAAGTAACACAGAAGGAACAATTGCACATAATTAAGTGAATTAGTGGCATTCATCTAATGAAAGGTGTGTTTGTTCAATAAATAGTGCTTAATCACTAAATGTTTAATAATTTAGTTTAAGTGAAATTCTATACCGAGAGTATTCCAGGATATTATCATTCCCTTACTTCCCACCCCCATCATTCCTGCTCAGAATATAAAACAGAACAGACTTTTCCCCCTGAAGATTGGCATCCCTAATCACTGTGTTCCCAGCCCTTGTTTTGTTGTGTTTCAGGTTGTCATGTTGGCAATGTACAACTTGTCTCTGGAAGGAAGCGGACGCCAAGGTTACTTCAGATGGAAAGAAGATATCTGTGCTTTTATTGAGAAACATTGGACCTTTTTACTAGGGAATAGGTAATGTGATTTTTTAAAATCTTATGCTTGACAAAAGATGTAAAGAATGAAGTATATGAAATTTGAGACAGCTTAAGGTAGCCACTTTAGAGAATTATAGTATTAACTTGTGCCATTATGAAGAATTTTTGAATTCCAAAAAAAATGTTTTTTTAATTAAATTTTTTTCATGAAAAATCAAAGTAGAACTACTAGGTGAACAGTTGGTGCCTCAGAAGACAGGACTGGTGATCTGCTTCTAAAAGGTCACAGCCTTGAAAACCTTGTGGAGCAGTTCTGCCCTGCACACATGGTGTTGCCTGAATCAGAATCAACTCCATGGCAGCAAAAACAACTTTTGAAATAGAAACTGTTTTATAGTTTTTGGTATTAGTCACAGTGCTTAGCAAAGCCTAGGCATATCAGTATGCATTTGGTTTATTCATTAATTACTTTTCATAATAGTGCTTTCATTTTGCTGTTGAGCTGTCCTCCACTGTGGCTGCATTGGCTCGTTAGACTTAAGGATACCAAGTGTGCAGACATTGACATTGTATGTTTTTGTTGTTATTTTATATTTTTATTGTGTTTTAAGTGAAAGTTTACAGTTCAAGTTAGTTTCCTATACAAAAATTTATATAAACATTGTTATGTGACCCTAGTTGCTCTCTATATATTGTGACAGCACACTCCTTTCCACCCCAGATTTCCCGTGTCCATTCAGCTCGCTCCTGTCCCTTTTTGCCTTCTCATCTCACTTCCGGACAGGAGCTGCGGATTTAGTCTCTTGTATCTACTTGAGCTAAGAAGCACACCCTTCATAAGTATCATTTTTATGTCTTATAGTCTAATCTTTGTCTGAAGAGTTGGCTTTGGGAATGATTTCAGTTCTGGGTTAACAGAGAGTCCAGGGATCATGTCTTCTGGGGTTCCTTTAGTCTCAGTGAGACCATTAAGTCTGGTCTTTTTACTAGGAGACCATATGTTTTAATGAAAGCTCTGTATGGGTGTAACAAGATTTTTATTGGTATTAGGGAATAGTGAGTTGGCGAATTTTGTTTAGATTCTGATGATTAGGTACCATCTGAAGTACTGTGTGAGATTCATAAATCTTACACAATCGGGTCAGTGTAGACATGACGAAGGCTCTGTCTGTGTAAGAGCAGGGTGTTTGGACCTGTCCTCAGACTGAGCTTGTTTCCTTGGGGAGTGAGAAATCACAGCTCTGCTGATGTGACAGGGAGGTCGAAAGAAGTGTGGATGACCTTTGGACGGCTCGATCTGAGGAAGACAGTAGATGCAGTACATTTTTACAAAAGGGCTATTTTAGTTCTTGAGTTATGTAGTGGCGCTAAGAAAGGAATTGACAGTACAATTGGTTCTTTTTCATAAAGAGAAGAATCTGTTGTCTTAGTTTAATGATGTAGAACTATTTATGGAACTTAATATACTCTATAAAGGAGAAGAAAAGGAAAAAACTGGTAAAATTAGATGTTGGAATGTGTTCATGATCTCTGAGTGCTGTTCTGTCTTGGAGATTATCTTCTGGAAGAAACTGGATTTAAATTACCTGTTTTTAAGGATATTGCCAGATTTTAACAGCAGTTTAGTTGTTCCATTTGTTCATTTCTAGGGTGTGTTCTGAGAGGACTCAGATGAGACTTTTTTTTAATACTTCTGAAAGGTGTTGATTACTTTCTAGTTTTTGTATAGTTTAAGCATTAAACTATTGGTTTTTGGCCATAGTGATATATCACCTGAATTGTCAATTAATGTTATTTAAACAACTCACTTTCATTTTTAAGTACATGTATTTTTAAAAGAAACTTCACACCACCATGGTAAGTAGAAAATCCATGTCATTTGCCATAAATAGAATGTAACTGTAAAAATAAAGCACTAAAAATAAATGCTATTAAATTGTAGCTGGATCCTATGGCCTGTCAAAGGCAAGCAAGCTGAGATGTCCAAGCAATAAACTGCCTCTTTGATCTAACCAGAGGAATGAGAAAGAATTAAAAATCACTCTGTGATTCCTTGCCACTCGATGTCCTGCTGACAACTATCTCAGTGCTGCTATCCTTCACTTTGGAACCTCAGCTTTAAACATCAGTGATTGATAAACCCACCTGGAACCATTCCTAGAGGTGAAACACCGGGGGCGTTCAGTGAGCATATGGTCAGCATCTGTGAATGAACCAACCTGTGTACATGCCAAAGACACCTGTTGCTGTCGAGTCGATTTCAACTCATAGCGACCCCATAGGGTTTCCAAGGAGCGGCTGGTGGGTTTGAACTGCCGACCTATGGTTAACAGCCAAGCTCTTAACCACTGCACTACCAGGACTCCATCATGCCACAGAAGTGGTCTGCAAAGAGCGTTTACATTGAAGTTCAATGTTTTTCATGACTACTAATACCAGGACATACTTTAATTTCTTAACAATGATAACTGTTTCTCATTAGTCAATCTAGGGGAGAAGATACTGTGTAATGAAGTTCTAAATTTGAATATATCTTCTTTCAGATGTTTATTGATTGTTGCTTTTATGCTTTTCATGTGTTATTAAAATTTAAATGTGTAAAGGTTTATTTTTTGTTTGAGAGGAAGACTACACGATGATATTTAGAAACTGATAAGAGAAAAATAAATATAGAAAGTTAGGACTTATAAAAAGAATAAATGTATAACTTTCTTTATAGAAAAGAAGCAACATTATATAGATTATTTCCTTTGACCACAGTATACTTTCATTAGAAATAAAGTCAATTCCTAAAAATTAGCTGTAAAATTTCTGTATGTTTGGAAACTAAAAAAATAGCATGAAATAACTCTTGGCTTAAAGGGGAGATGATGAGAAAAATTACAAAATGCTAAGTACTGAATGATGAAGTCTCATCATTTCAAGAGTCATAAGTCATAGCTAAAGCAATATTTATAGGGAAGTTTATAGCTATGAGTACATTTGCCAAAAAACAAGAAAGACAATGGGTAGTAAATGCGTTTATAGCTGCTCTCCTTTTTAACCATATTAAAATGATACTTAGTTCAGTCGTTTCAAAGTGAGGGAAATTTACATAACATTAAAGGACAAGTACTGAGTTGTCCCTGAGTCAGACTTTTGTAACCCTGGGACTGCCGGTACTGAAAGCTTAATTATTTAATTGCCATTGTGTGTGTGACCATTTAATCTGCTTTAAAATCCTGGCCTTAAATTCTCCAGAAGGCATTTATCTTTTTTAAGTGTTTTATCTATTTATTTTTTTAATATTTCTTTTTTTTTTTAATTGTACTTTAGATGAAGGTTTACAAAACAAATAGTTCCTCATTAAACAGTCACTGCACATACTGTTTTATTACATTGGTTAACAACCCCACGACGTGTCAACACTCTCCTTCTTGGCCTTGGAGGGCTTTTTTTTTTTTTTTGGTGAAAATATACGTAGCCAAAGATGACCATTTCGAAAATTTCTATATGTATAATTCAGTGACATCAATTACATTCTTCCAGTTGTGCTGCGGTTCTCACTATCCTTTTCCAAATTATTCCATCACCATTATCTTCAACTCAGTGTCCCCTAGGCTTCCCATCAAAACCTTTTGAGTTGCTGTTGTCAATTTGATCTCACATAGATAACTCTTTTTTTTTTTTTGTACTTTAGATGAAGGTTTACAGAACAAATAGTTTCTCATTAAACAGTTAGTACACATGTTGCCCTATGACAATGATTAACAACCCCATGACATGTCAACACTGTCCCTTCTCAACCTTGGGTTCTCTATCACCAGCTTTCCTGTGCCCTCCTGCCTTCTAGTCCTTGCCCCTGGACTGCTGTGCCTCATTAGTCCTGTTTTGTTTTATGGGGCTGTCCAATCCCTGGCTGAACAGTGAACCTCAGGAGTGACTTCACCACTGAGCTAAAAGGGTGTCTGGGGGCCATACTCTGGGTGTTTCTCCAGTCTCTGTCAGGCCAGTAAATCTGGTCTTTTTGTGTGTGTTAGAATTTTGTTCTACATCCTTCTTCAGCTCTGTCCAGGACCCTCTCTTACGATCCCAGTCAGAGCAGTCAGTGGTGGTAGCTGGGCACCATCTAACTGTACTGGACTCAGTCTGGTGGAGGCCTTGGTAGCTGTGGTCTATTAGTCCTTTGGACTAATCTTTTCCTCGGATCTTGTTTTCTTCATTCTCCCTTGCTTCCGAAGGGATGAGACCAGTGGAGTATCTTAGATGGCTGCTCACAGGCTTTTAAGACTGCAGATGCTACTCACCAAGGTAGAATGTAGAACATTGTCTTTATAAACTGTGTTATGCCAGTTGAGCTAGATGTTCCCCGAGACCATGGTCCCCACAGCTTTCTGCCCAGCAGTTCAGTCCCTCAGGGAGTTTGGATGTGTCTATGGAGCTTCCATGTCCTTTCCTTGTACAAGTTGTGCTGGCTTCCGCAGTATTGTGTACTGTCTTACCCTTCACCAAAGTTACCACTTACATATTGTCTGTTTAGTATTTCCCCCCCACCCCTCCCATCCCTCATAACTAACAAAGATTGTTTCTTTTTGTGTGTAAACTTTTTCATGAGTTTTTACAATAGGTCTCATACAATATTTGTCCTTTTGTGATTGACTTATTTCACTCAGCATAATGTCTTCCAGTTTGATCCATGTTATGAGATGCTTCACAGACTCATCATTGTTCTTTATCATTGCATAAACTCCATTGTGTGTATGTACTATAGTTTTGTCTATCCACTCATCTGTTGATGGGCATCTAGGTTGTGGGAAGAAGGCATATTTTTGATTAGTGAAAAATAGTATGAATACTTTTTGTATTACCATATTTCATTGATTTTAAGATGCCGTTTTTCAAATTTTGACATCTCTGAAATCAGAATACATCTTACAATTGGTGTAAGTTTTTTTTCTTAGTTGTTCATAAAATAATGGTGTATCTTAAAGTCATTGGATCCTAGATTTGATGAAATGTGATAGAACACATTCATAGTTTTTTAAACTTCAAAAAGCC